CATGCTTCCACTATCAAAATTGAGCTTGATAAACCCTGGTGACCAAAGATAAATAGTACCAGTCTTGTTTGGAGTAGAAGTTGCCACTTCCTTCCAATTTCTAAAGATGTCATCTGTAGTAACACTAGAGAAGATGTTTAAAGACTTTATCCAATGGGAAACCCTGATCATTATTATTTCAATCAATCCTTCCTTGCTTCTTTCTTTTTCCATGAAAATTCTTGAATTCCTTTCTTCCCATATCGTCCATAACATTGTCGCATTAATGCATCTTCACATTTATCTTCCCCTCTTATTTGGGCACGGAAAGAAAGTTGGAACAAACAGGCTTTGCACATCAACTGGAGAATTCGACTTACATCCAAAGAAAGAGAGGAACCATTCCCAAATAGATGCAGTAAAATTACAAGAAATGAGTAAGTGGTAAACAGTCTCACCGTTAGCTTTGCAGAAGACAAACTAGTGTGGGGATAAACTCCATTTTTTGTGCTTTCTTTGAAACACATCACAAGTATTAATCTTTTCGTGGACCACTTCCCAATAAAATGCACCAATCCTAGTAGGAATAGGTTTGCACTAGATCTCCTTAGTTGGGAAATAAGGCAAAGAACTAATGGAGGGAGAGCTCTAAAGAATGAAGCAGAAGGAGTCAAAGGGAGTACAAGTCCATATTCGACCATCCAGTTTAGAAGGATCAAGGGATACTTCCTCCAATAATTGGAGCACACTCATCACACGTTGAAGCTTAGAGTCTCTTATACCCCTCCTGAATCCTAAGTCCCAGCTTATGCCATTGCTAGAATTTGAAGAAACAAGGAACTTGGATATAGGTTCATTTTCAAAGAAAGTTAGGGCATAAAGAGAAGAGAATTGTTCTTTTAGAGGAGAAGATCCCAACCATTTGTGTTCCCTAAATTTAATACCATTGCCACTCCAAAGATTATATCTAATAAAAGGAAGGAAAAGTGGTAGGATTTTATTGAGATGCTCGGTTTGCCCTTGCCAATGCTCCTGCATCCCTAAATTTAATATCCCAACCATGTATACTCGCGATGACTTTTGCCCATAACTTGTCTCTCTTGAGGTATTCTCCACAACTTCCCTAGCAAAGCAGTGTTTCTCCTTTGTATATTCCSTATTTCCAATCCCCCTTTATTTTTATCTCTTCAAGCCATCCCATCCTCTTGAGGCATTCTCCTTTGTTTCTCAACTCCCAACAATTTGCTCCATACAGCATAGTTGGCCTTACAACTTTTTCCACTCATTTCTGCCAAACTCATCTTTTGCACCCTCATACATATCCGCAATTAGGTCTATATACCTATTTAGGACCCTTTTTTCTTTCAAGACCTACCATCTAATCCCTCTAGCGACTCTATCATATGCTTTCTCTAGATAAATGAACACCATATGAAAATTTTCTATGGTTATCTCAAAAGAAAGATAGATTTCATGGTTGATCTCCTTAGTATAAACACAAATTGGTTCTCTAATTCATTTACTTGTTTCATGTCTTAACATTTGATCTTGGTCAGTAATATGCATACCTATTTCATGGGTTTGAAACCAGTGGAAGTGAACTGCATTAAGTAGCTTCAAAGATGAATTATAAAGTTTTGAAAACAACGATATTGGTTGTATGGTTCTTGTTATGATTCGGCCTGCCTTGGAGTTCTGTTTGTCTGAGATTAGTCACGTAGAGAGAGGTAGAAAGGTGGAAGAAAGAGAGAGAGAAAAAAGAAGAAAATCTGGTTCGAACTGGAAGTCAAAGAACATAACTCCCATTCGGCCAGACATGTGCTTTTATTATTAAAATTAATGGAAAAGACATATGTGCCCTTATTTAAGTAAGGAGCACTGGTTCTAACACAATATTACAGATCAGCAACCTTAATCTAAGTATAAAGACAGAAATACCCCTACGCTAACAGTTCTGATACGTGCCTTAGGAGAACTCACCCCTAAAAGCTAACTGTTAGAGGGAGGGAACCCAAGCACATATATACCACACAACAGTATCCCATACTACCGATGTGGGATATCTCACATTAGCATCCCATACTACCAATGTGGGACAAATGGATCGTAACAGGTTCTGAATCCAATGCATTCTTGATGAAGTACATAGAACTTGGATGGGAACTGAAGATGGACTGTTGGAGAAAAACATGATGGTTTATGAAAAGGATGAGACTATTTTTAAATATTAGTGAAGTTTCTTCTTTGACAGTGCTAAAATGAAAAATACTTTAAAGTTTGATGTGTAGCTTTTGCACTTAAAATTTATCCAGTTGTGGCAGGTTTTTCATGGTTATTTTGATTTGCAGGTTCGTGTTTGTGCTTTCCCAGCTGATAGATTGGGATTGAAAGGAATTGGGATTAGTCCAGATTGCAACCCAGAGAATAGGGCTAGCCCCAGAGAGGTGATTCCTTAATAATTCAAACCATTGTTTACATTCTCATATTTTAGAAAGAAGCACCAAAAGCATTACTTATTTTATACTTCTCAGCTTTTTAAGTGGGCATTGGAGCCAGCAGAAGATTATGTTCTTGACAGGCTATTTGAGCTTGGATATCTGGATGCGGCTGTATGGGCAGAGCAGAATTCAGTGGATAAAATAGTGGAACATGAAAACAACCCCAACTAAATCTTGGATTCTTCTGTACCTCAGCATTCCTGGTCAATGARGACCTGGAAGAAGATAGGATCTGATCTCTGGGTGACTAATGCAATTCCTGGATCCTGGTATTTCACATTGAAGTAAAGGGAGTACAGGGAGAATTCTGATCCATATTGCAAGATTATGCCAATGGCGTCTACTGACCTTTGGAGCCTGTTCTTGGATTGGCTTTTAGATCTTCAGCAGAAAAAGAGTCAACCCTGGAAATACATCATGGAGCTATAGATGGTTGGCCATATTAAGCAGTAAAAGAAAGAAGAAGAAAGAAATAGGACTGAGAACTTAGAATGAGATTATAAAATTAAATTTTGTAAAAAAAACTTCAACATTC